CACACTGAGAGGGGTTTGGGGTTTCTGCATTCTGTGGGATCCAGGAGGGTGCTTAGAGCTCGCTCGTGCTGTGCCCACACCAAAACATTTTGCTCTTGCACACAGGTGAGCCCCGGTTGCGAACTCCTCCAAGGATTTGATCACTCTCCTGGCAGTTTTTCTGTAATTGATTGTGTTCTGCATAAGGATATTAACTTAAATTTAGCTTAAGGTCTGTGTAGGCTGAAATCACCCTTTGACTGCAGTGGCAGCACACTCTACTAACATTTCACAGCTCTGGTTCTTGGCCACTCCATAAATTCTTCAAAACCACTGTGTGTGTAACATCAAAACTTAGTGAGAAGTTTTTCTTCTTTATCTCCTCTGACCTTTTCTGAAACAGTGTTTTCTGTTAAATGATGCACTACTGATCCCCATTTTCAAAGCTCAGAGTACTTCAGTTTTAGAACACATTTAAAATGCATATTTCATTTCCTTTGGTTGTAGCCATTGCGTGTGTACCCACAGCTAACAACAAATAAATAAAAAATCATGGTGTGAATTCTAATTGAAAAAGTGCCTAGAGTTAAAAACRCATTGTTCCCTAGTAGAAAGAAAAAGTTATGCATGATTTACCGTTTCAGCATACTGGGATTTAATTTCAAGGTTCAAGCAGATTTTTGTATATTTAGATGGTTGAAACTAATGGCTGTTTTTGTTTTTATTTTACTTTTAAAAAACATTTATGCAATAATTTGCAACTGCAGAAAAGGCTAATCAGATAAGCAAGTAACCAGCTATTCTTTTKCAGATTTTATGAACATGCAGCTCTGCTGTTCTGCTGCTCCTTTAGTGTAGAACAGACTTCACCCTCCCTTCCCTGGTTTAGGAAGGTTTTGGTRGAATCATTGTGGACTCAGACAATTTCCTGCCCTTGTTAACCTTCATTTTCCTTTGGTGATGATGTTCCCTTCATCCTCTCGCATGTTTGGCTCTTGACCCCTGTGTAACACACTTTGACAGCTCCATCCTTCCCATTGCTTGGCTTATCAGGGATTCATTAAATGCAAGAGAACTTTGCTCCCTGTTCTCGCTGGTGGTGCAGAGGTCCGTTCCCACAGCGCATGTCGCAATTTCGGGAAGCATCTGTCTCAGTCCTGTGCTTGGAAAAGTTCAGCTGGATGCAGACATGCAGCTCAGATGCTTCTTTCATCAGGGAGACAGAAGCTTGACTGTGGTAACATTTAAGGTCTGAAATAGCGAGAGTCAGGTGGTTTTAAAAAGAACGATTGGTTCCTCTGCATGTCAGACTGAGTGCTCCTCTATCAAACTGAATTTCTTTTCTYAGTATATGAGAAGAAGTTGAGAACACAGATTTTGTAAGGTGCTTGTATCAAGAAGCTTGGGCTTTGTTTAATCATGAATGTCTAATTTAATTCTGAAGTTAAATATCTATTCCTCAAAATTTTTTCCAAATAAATTTGACATTGTAACATCCTTTGTGTGGCTTCACCTGTCTCCTAAATTGGAAATTGGAATGGTGGTGCAAAAATGGCAGCCCCTGCTCATGTCCTCTCCTGATGCAATGGCCTTAGAAGTCCCTGGAAAAGACTCCTGTGACTTACATTTGTAATAGTTAAATCCACGATGTGTGTCAGAYGGGAATTTGGTTCCAAACTTGACACCCCAAAGGCAGTTTTGGAGTAAGTGCTTTTTCACTGGAAAAATCTCTGCAGCTGAGACGATTGATGATGAGTGAGCTGAGCGTCCTCATCTGATTAGGATTTGATAAAACATGTTAGCCAAAACCTCCAGGGGCTGGACTGGATGGTTGATAACATAAGGAGATATCCTCATTTGGAGAACAGAACCCAGCAGCTGCTGCAGACACTTGGCCYAGTGGAAATGGCAGAGTCACAAATGCTCCTCCCAGAAGGTTGGATCTGCAGCATCAAATATGTGCAATATTTACACAAATCCAGGCTGGATTACATGCCCCATTCACGATTTCAAATCACTTCTCTGTTCCTCGAGTGCTGGAGTTACTTCTGTCAGAGCAGATGTTCATCCTGGAGTAGAAGTCCTTCCAAAGTATTCATTACAGAGCATAAATACAGTTAAAAGAAAAATGAAATTAAAGGCAGCCTGCGATCAATTGAGTTTAGAAAACAATTTCTTAATAGCCCAAATGTAATTCAAGGCAGTTAGTCCTTCACATAGCTTCTACCAAAGGCATTGTTGCTGAGTCTGAGGCAGAGCTTTGCATATTAACGATTGTGCATTAATTGTTGGCAGGTTTCTAAGTATGAAGGTACCAGCTTGACCCAACCAGTATTTAGTGCATCTGTGATTGATACATACACACATATATGTGTGTGATACACTCTATATGTGATATATCGCATATTCATTTAGCATTTGTTTAGTTGCTGTCTCCTACATAATGCTTTGTGGAAGGGAGTTTTGAAGCTCCCGATATTGTCTTTCTGGTTTGGAATATTAGATGTGAAATGTGAATGTTCAATATATCTCTTKATTTTTTGGCCTTAAGTAAGGGGTCAAACTGAACTGGCTTTAAGATTTAGAATGAGGCTTGCTTAAATGAATTACTGTTTGGAAAGAATACATTTCAATGTCAGTTAAAATGAAATATTTCTCTTTGTTTTATACATAAGAGATGTGATTGTTGCCTGTGTTTAGGGGAAAAACTTGACAGCACAGACTTTCTCCCACTTTGAAATAAGTGCTGTATTTTTATACTRTTTGCACAACTGCTAAATTGTCCATGGAACTTAGAGAAGGTGAAGTGTGGGTGGGGGGTGGAGGTCTCACTGTAAAACCTTCTGTTCATGGGTTGTTCGTGCAGTAGAAAGTGCAGTGCAAACTGGGATGAACTTAAACTGTTGGATGCAAAAAAGCAACTCCAAAGTTTAAATTCCAGGTATCCAACTCCTTCCCTAGCCTCGATCTTGGTAATGACCGGTGACTCTTTAAATGAAACAGAAATAATGCATCTCTGCTTGACCAATATAACAGAATTTGGTCCTATGAAAAACCTTACGCTGTTGTTTTCTCCCTCTGATTTCATAGCAAGTTGTAAACTTTCAAAATCAATGTTAACTCAGTGAAARGCACCACAAAATAACTATTAAACAACTCTGAAGTTCCCATTTTTWAAAAAATGTAGACATTGTTTCTGTGGGGTGGGACCCTCATTCAGTAGTCCATTGGCCACAGTCCACCATGTCAGGAATATTGGAAGGGACTTCCCAGTTTATTGGAAAAGTTTCCTGCTCAGAAWGCCTCACAGTCATATATCCTAAAGCAAATAAGTGGATATACATTTAGATGGAAATAAGGRTGATAAACTAGATCTCTGCCTTGTGTAAATGCAAAATGCAGAAATCAAAATGGGAAAATTCCACTTCCCTCTCTGGTATTAGTCATCATGAGAGCTTGAATGCAAATATAGATCTTCAATTTATTAAGGATTTGGGGATCTGAAACACATTCCAACAGGATTTGAAAAGCATACAAGAACTGTGCCAAACAGATTACATCTAGAAATATCAGATGTATGTTACCCTTCAGACGCTGGGAAAAGGGAAGGAAGGTGCACAAAGAAGAAGAAACAGAGGTGCAAAAGAGACAAATGTTTTTCTGGTATGGAAAACTCCAGAAACTCCAGTCTTTTGCTGTTTGATAATATAATTAGTCAGTGTTTTGACTAGACTGATTTGATAATGATGCATAGAAAAGGGCAATTTAATCTTGGCACAGTAACTAGGAATGTTTGCCTCATTGCTTTCTATGTCTTAATTTCTACTTTAAATTAAATGTCTTCAGCTTCTGAATGTTTTATATTAGAAACCTTCCTTTACAAACCTTCTATTTTGAGCCACTAATTAATTTAATGCACAAGTTAGGTATATCATGTGATTGCAGATCARGAGCATATTTTTGTTCTCTTTCTGYATCTCTAAACTCTSAAACCATTTGTGCATTGAGAAGGACATACACATTTTTTATTCCCTCTCAGATGTTTCTATTAACTATCTGATGGTCCTTGTACTCTTATTCCCTAAATATTTGTATTTCCATTTATTTGTACTTCATATATCTTGCGTGACAAGAAGAAAAACACCATCACTGCACCAACACTTGCTTTAGGAAATCATCTGCAATGTCTGTTGATTGGAAAGAAAATTAACCCYGTGKGCAARGGCACRTGCCTTGTGGTCTGCATTTCCYTCACTCAGGAAGGTGATGTGCCCACATTTGGTTGTTTCCRTGTTTAGTCAGTGAGATTTCTTGTAAATAACAAAATTTCCCTCACTCAGGAAGGTGATGTGCCCTCATTTGGTTGGTTCCRTGTTTAGTCAGTGAGATTTCTTTTAAATAACCAAATATCCATATTTTATATAATAAAATATTATTATCTGGGTTGAATTATAATAAGAGGTGGAGGTTTGGTGGATGAGAGTAACAATGGTCAGATCTATCTGAGTTACCCACTGTGATTACTTCCTCATGTTTCCCTCGAGCATCTCTTTATGCTGAGGGTTGTTGAAGTAGGTGTGCTCCCATTTTGGCCAGAATAACAATCATCTGGATTTAACAAGAAACTTCAGGAAGACTCCATTGGGATGGTGTAGCTCCATCAGTGACTACTCTTCCACCTCGTTTGATCTTCTTGAGGTCAAAGTGGAGTCTCCAATTTACTTCAAGCTGGCGAGGCATYGAGTCATTCCTTTTTGTGATAAACTTGCCATTTCCCCACTTTGGATTCTGTTGCTTTGAAAGACTGAGTTTGAACAAAGTAATTTATCCACCTAGTGAGTGCCAAACTCAATTTAGCCTGACGAGGACAAAAGCACCGGAGGGGGAGGATGGTTTGATCTCGTATTCCGTTATCCGAGGCCTGAAAAATCACGTAGAAAGATTTAAAGCAGATGCAGGAATTGCTGTGTGGCCTTGTATGCTAACCAGCAGGTTAAATAACCATTTCCATTCTTTTCCAGGGCATCAGTAGCCTCTTYAGCTCGCTGAAGGTGGTGCGGCTCCTGCGGCTCGGCCGCGTGGCCAGGAAGCTGGACCATTACCTGGAGTACGGGGCCGCCGTKCTGGTGCTGCTGGTGTGCGTGTTYGGGCTGGTGGCCCACTGGCTRGCCTGCATCTGGTACAGCATCGGCGACTACGAGGTCATCGACGAGCTGACCAACACCATCAAGACGGACAGTTGGCTCTACCAGCTGGCCCTGAGCATCGGGACTCCATATCGCTACAACTCCACGGGCTCGGGCCAGTGGGAGGGAGGGCCCAGCAAAGACTCCTTGTACATATCCTCGCTCTACTTTACCATGACAAGCCTTACAACCATAGGATTTGGGAACATAGCGCCYACCACGGATGGGGAGAAGATTTTTTCGGTGGCCATGATGATGGTTGGCTGTAAGTAAAWTCTGATTTTCCCATGTTTAAGGGGAGTTTCTGGCCACAGAACAGTTCTTGCTTTAAGATTTTTGACATCCTAAAAAAAAAAAATCTGAAGTACCTGTAAATAATCATGAAACAAACTTGGAATTCTTCAAAACACACATTGAAATGGTGTAGTTGCTGCAGCTTTTAAATTGCTTGCAAAGCTGAGTGGTCTAGGTTTATCAGTGTGCCCAATTGCAAGTTTGGGGCCTCATCTTTACACTTTAAGGATGGCTTTKATAGTGTTTGAGAGGTCTTGGATAGAATTTGGTTAAAACTTACAAAGTATGTTTGAATCCAGGTGGTRTTAGTTTTGCTTATGAACTTGCACAAGCTTGGAATAGTTTGATGTGGTTTTATCCAATTCTTGAAGAATTTAGGGATTCCATAAATKGGTTGTGTACTTTATGGCACTGGTTTGAGTTATAAATCCTGATTTTATCTTCTGAGTGTGTTGGCCTTTGCCACCAGCAAAGCTAGAAGTGAGAGAAGTGATGAAACAATAAATTGCATTTTTTTTCCTGCTTCCTGCTATGTTACGGCTCTGCTGAAGTAGTCTAAAACCAACRTGGTGAGGCACATTTCCCATTTAATGTGCTGCCAAGCTTGGATCACTGAGGGGCTCTACAGGTTAACAGAAATCTTCAAAATATAGCAGAGACAACTTAAAATGTTAATACCATTTGGGAGAATTGTTTTTCTGTTAAATAAATAACTCTTGGTRTTTCTCTGGTGCTTTCTATTTTCTGAGCACCATGCAAACACTAAGCAATTATGTAACAAGAGAGCAAACAAAACCTTTTGATAATAAGAATCTGCATAATCTCTCTGATAATTATCCAAGCTAACACTTTGAGCTCATCTCTGAGAAATACTGAACTATAAAATGGAAGTTTTCTWGCCACAGTCTTTCTAGATCCTTAGAAGATTAAAGCCATTTGTTTGGAGATTTTAAAATGCTTTTTAWAAAGAGAGGTTGCAATTTTAGGACTCTTCTTACAGCGTGGTCCAATGAGATTTCTGCTGAACACCGTCTTTACAYGATGGGTTGATGCGTTGCAAAACATTTCCAAGTCCATAAAAAGCAAATTCCCAAGCCAGAGCATTAGTGAGCTATTGCAGATAGGTCATCAAAAACCTATTGGAGCTGATATGCCATTTGTTGAAACTGTTTTGTGGTATTTACMGAACCTGGGGATTTGGAGAATAAAGTGGATATAGAATCTTTTTTATACATTGTAATATTTACTTCCCTTGTTTTGTTTTTTGTTTGGTTTTTTTTGTTTGTTTTTTTATGAGGATTTTCGTTGTCCTGTAGAGGGGGATTTCACAGAAAAAAAACTACGTGGTAAATGACTTAGGGTGTGATGAGAGCCATAAAAACATAATGAATGCCACTACTACTATTTATAATGGTAACAAGAACAACAAAATACATGCATGGCCTCAGCAAGCGAAAAGGAAGCATAGATTGTAGCCTGCTTTGTATCTGTTCTTGGTWGATTTGTTTTCTTGCTTTTTAATCTCTGAAACTCTAGTTAGAGATGGGGAATACAAGCAGAAGTATCAAAGCTGACACTGACAACACCCTGTGTATGTGGCACTGACAGATAATTTCCATAAGTGTTACCTACRAAATTACTAAATGCCCACATCAAATTTGTAAGTGGCAGCTGTGAGCTTAGCAATTGGRAAACCATGTGTGGTTTTACAGGCTTTTAGACAGAGTCAAAAGTAGAATCTGAAATTTAAGAAGCGTGGCAAAAGGACTACTGGGTTGCTTATTGCATAAAAATAATAACACCAAAATAAATGTGCCTTCTCTGATGAGTGGGGTGAAGAGCACTGTGGCAGGCAGGAAGGCTACGGACAGGAGGAACCTTTTTGGTTTATTTACAGGTAGAATTTACAGCTAAAAATGCTGAATTATCATCAAAGAGTTGAATCTTTTGCAGCGATATCCGTGGGATGCGTTTTCTAATCCATGCACATTGGGGAGATGAGTGCTCCTGAAATCCAAACCTTGACTGATCGTTTTCCACTGGTTAGGAAATAAATCAGCTTTGGAACAGGCACTGCCCATGGGCTTAATGTTTTCAATATTTGTGAAATCAGAGAGATCAGACCTGCAGGATTGTATAGACATGCTTTGCAGAGCCAGGTGCTGAAAGCTTCACATKGAAGTCCATAATGAAACAGGAGGGCACAACAAAAAGCTGATGGAAAATGCAATTTCCAGGCATTCAGAGTGTCCAGTGAGCTCAGGAGAAGGATTTGGCCCCATGAAAAGGTGTTGCTAAGAACTGAGTTATTTTCAAACCAAGATGTTTTAGTTTCTCTTTTGAAGCAGTGTTTTGAGATAAACRTTCAGTAAAATTCAATTACAGTTCAGTCAATAAATATCTCTGGTCCACAAACACGCTCCTGTTATTAACAGAGAGGGGCTGTGAAATACCTTTGGTAGTTCTCCTGAATAAGTTTGCTAATACCAACACCTGATATTGGCAGTGGCTTTTTTTTTTTCCTAACAGACTATGCCAAATAAATGTCTTAAACTCAGCACTGGAATCAGAGATAGTAATTCATCACAATCCCAGCTGCCTACTCATGCAAACTGCAGATAGGAAAGGAAATCTTCCCTGCCTTGTCAGCGAGCAGAGGCTTGTTCTGAAAGCCCCAAGTTTCMTATTCATGCTGGCAAAGTTATCAGGACCTGGGAGGAGTATTTGGAGAGATTTGCAAATCCTTCTGGTGGGCAGGATGCAGAGTGGTGTACTCGTTAAAAATAGGCAGATTGCGATTCTGTAGGTGCTGATAAAGCACTGCTCGCTTCGGGGCAGGGCGGGGGAAGCCCTGATGGATRGGGTGCTTTTCAGTGTGATTGGCAGCCTGTCACCTGCTTGTTCACTGAGGACAGATCGAGTGGGAGATTTCAGCTGAAATGCATCACCTGTCTTGCAGGAAAGAGAGCTTTGAATAACTTAACCTCATCTTRCGGAGATTGCTTCAGATTTCTTTTTGCCTCACTTGTTTTATCTCGGTGCCCAGTGCTGCTCAGCAGTATTTTTTTCTATTGCTTCTTGACACTTGAAAAGCTAAAAATGGCAAATGAAGCATTCTRTGACAGGAGAGCAAGGTTTTTACAAGGGTTATTGTTTAAATACCTATTGTGCATTTGCTGCCTAGAGTTGCTGAATATGCATTGAAAATCTGATTTTTTGTAGCACCTTTTGTGTTGATCTAGGTCGTTTCATCCCCTCTCTGTGCAGAGTAGAACAAATGAGTGGGTCTGTCAGATCCTTAGAGTGGACCAGGAATTGTTTATCATTCAGGAAGGACCTTTATTGTAAACCCCCCGTTATCTTCTGTCAGCTCAGAGCCTCCAAATGAAATCTCAGCCTGTGCTGCTGTGTGTTGCTCTAGTTCTGTCCACAAGCAGCTGCAGCACAGCTATGGATGCAGATATAAAACTGACTGGGTTTGTGTCTTTCACAAAAAAATAAGAAAAAAATGAGTGTATCAAGAAAGAGAGCAGAAAGAAACTTCTGGTTCWTACACCGCTATCACTGTCTTGCAACTCAGCACAACCAGGCTGTCAGTGAGCAGAAAGGAAAAGGGAAAATGCATTTTGGGGAAAGTGGCTCTGTGGTTGGATGGAACAGCTTGCAGAATTCAGGAGAGAGGGGGATTTCTCAAGGAACAAGTGTGAATGTTTCAACAACAACTGTACTGTCATAAGATTTCATSCTTCCTGTGCTTTCACTGGGAGAATGGCAGCCAGCTTCCCAGTGTCCTGGTTTAGGCAGGGACAGGGTTAATTTTCCCCCCAGTAGCTGGTACAGTGCCYTGTGTTGGATTTAGAATGAGAATAATGTTGATAACCCAGTGAGGTTTTAGCTGTTGTTGAGCAGGGCTCACATGAAGTCAAGGACTTTGCAGCTCTCGTCCCCTGCCAGCRAGGGGCTGGGGGGCACAGGGGCCATGAGGGGACACAGCTGGGACACAGCGGGCCAAACTGGCCAAAGGGACATTGCACACCATATGGCATCGTGCTGAACAACAAAACTGAGGGGGCTGGAGGGTGACTGGTCAGCGGGTGGTGAGCAATTGCATTGTGCATCACTCGTTTTTTGTATTCTTTTATCATTATTATGATTTTCTCCCCTTCCTTTTCTGTTCTATTAAGATGTGCTCATCTCAACCCGTGAGTTTTGCTTTTTTTTTCTGAYTCTTTCCCTCATTGAACTGGGGGGGAGGGAGTGAGCGAGCAGGTGGCTGGGGGAGTTTTAGCTGCCTGCCAGGTTAGAGCACAACACCCAGCCTGGGGCTCAGAGGGTCTCTGACATTTCCTCATCCTYCTGATGGAACCTGGAGCAATGGGTTTGCCCCATCCATGTGCAAAAATGAAATGGTTCTGAATGGCACAGAGCAGATTGCAGCTTCAGTCTGGCCCCATAAATACAGCAATTACAGGAGTTTATTTGTCCAGCTGAATGGACCTACTTCATCCAAGCAGCTACAGAAATCCAGTACATTCCACTGGTCACTGAAATGCTCTGATGATCCATGCAGCAAGGGAAGGCCAGAAAGAGGAACTGAAGGCAGGAGTGTCAATGAACTGTGAATAATTCACCATTTCTCAGGTTGCGAAAGACAAAGAATCTCTTAGTTATCCACTGGTCTTCAGAACTGCTGAGCAAAGGGTGCTTTGTCRTTCTTCCTTTAGGGATATCTACATACATAATTTTTTTTAACTACATACATAATTACTTTGGCTTCTATTTACTCTGGTTTTATGGGGAGATGGATGATATTTTTCAGTGACTGGTTTTAAATTATGGTGAAAACAGGCCTGGCTGTTTTCAAATAGGTTTTGCATATGAGCAGAAGAATTTGTTGACTGATTGTGTAGTATACCTTCTCTGGAAAACCGGAGCAATGTCTAGACACCTCTTTCGAAGAGTTTCTGGTTT